TTTTAATAAAAATTTATTAAAACAAGTAATTTTGAGTTTTTTTCCCTTAATATTTTAAAAACTCGACTGACAACACTTTTCTCATAAAATAATGAGATTTCAATTAATTTTATAATAAATTTTATATAATTTATTTAATTAAATAAAAATATAATATTCTCCTTTCCTCTCTTTCTTTTATTTTAACAATCGGATGTAGTACCAACGAAGGGTTGGATTAAGTGGCAAGGTGCTTGTTCCAACTTAAGTAAGGTCTCGAATTCGAAACTTTGTGTACGCAGTAGCCTTCGTTGAGAGACCCACCTACCATTCTGGTGCGCCACAGCTGGTCGAGTCCAGAGTAGTCGGGGCGAAGCCCCGAATACCGTGCGGGAAACCAAAAAAAAACAATCGGATGTAGTTGTTACCATACAAAAAAATATTATGGCCACATAAGTTTTTTTATTTATCCAAATACTGACTTTATTTGATTTAACTAATAAGAACAACTAATAGCTATTGTTACTAACTAATAATTGGTAGAATAATTGATAATTATTTTTTAATAGATTGAAAATCAATCTATAAACTTATATTTTTAAATATTATAACCAATTGTTTAAGAAAAAGATTTATAATTTCAATACTTAGAAATACTAACTTTATTTGATTTAAATATTTAAAATAACTAATAACTATTGTTATTAATTGATAACTAATAGAATAATTAATAATTATGTTTATTGAAACGATATAGTTTTAAGATGATTTTTCTCCTAATTTTTAGAAGGTAAGACTGATAAACACTTTTTTCAATCATTATTACTTAATAGATTGAAAATTAATCTATAAACTAATGTTTTTAAATCCTATGACCGACTATACATTTAATTTAAAAAAAAAAAACCTTATAATTTTTGCGGCCATGCCTTTTTCTTGTATGATAGTAACCATATCCTAACCCTTCTATCTCGTTTTGTTTCCTTTTCTTCTTCTTCTTCTTCTTTATCTTTTTTTTTATTATTATTTTACTTTTTCTTCTTCTTCTTCTTTATCTTTTTTTTTTTTTTAATTTTATTTTTATCTAAACATATCCTTAAATATTGCGACCGGAAGCACTAATAATAATGGGATCTGGTCATTCACTGGAAGAAAAAAGAATAATGGGATCCTCTTGGATTACTAAAGGATGAGAAGCAAACTAGATGCTGAATTGCGGAGTCGCATAAAACTGTCCAAAGGAAAGTCACCCTTCATCCTCAGATTTTCATACACTTTCTTCCCTAATATCTCTCCTTATCCGTTCCCCTTTCTAGAGTCCATTCCTCTCCTATCATTTGATATATATTTAAACCCACCCACCACGCAAAACAAAGAATCCCACTACAGAGAAAAACCTCAAAATAAATATGGAGGAGCCTATACAGGCAAAAAGGAGGATACATGAGCTCCCAGTGATTGGTGGCGGTGGCATTGAAGGGTTGGTTCGTGTGGAGCAGAGCATTGGTCACGATCAGGAAAGGAAGAAAAGTTGACGACATGAAAGAGATTGAAGATAATACTGGGGGCAAAGGGATGCAATTTGTTATCCCAGTAAATGAAAATCCAAGGTTTGCATTGGAATCTATTGAGTTTTGATTTCCAAACTATGTTTTTCAATTCATAACAC